TATATATATATATATCTCCTCAAGACTAAACAAAACCAGTGTTTTAAATACTATGACTTGACAAACCCCTGGGTCTGGAACCAGCCCCACTGCTCACTGGGGAGGAGAAGGAGGAAGTGCCACTGCCCTCTTGAAGCTCCTTCTCCCCTTGTAGCTCTCAAGGAGGCTCCTCAGAACACTTAAGACATGAAGTTCCTCCAGTGCAGGCACCCTGGAGAGCAAAGCCTTAAAATGCAATGATGCAGTTTTGGTTTAGTTCTTGGCCATGACATCCTCTATGATGAACCTGTGGCAAGCTGGGGCAGCTAACCCCCCTTGAGCCTTTTAGAGAGGTTCTTCCACATCTTTTAGGCAGCAGACTTGCCTTCTTCACCAGGGTGGGCTCTGCCAGTTTGACTTGATATTGCAAAGAAATTGAGCAATTTTTGGCTACCATCTGGTACTACAATCAATCTTCACGGTTGAAGCTGTCATCGTTACACACTGAAACCCTGCCTGACACCAACAAGCAATGAAGAACGCCCACAGCTCTTGGTTTTAACTTGAGTTGAAGCATATTTTCTAGGAAGGTTTAGCCTAATTTGGTAGCTTTGTACTTGTAAGAGATGCACGAAGGGTTTGGCTTTACATTTTAGCTTGGCTCTATTGGACATAAATGGGAAGGATGGGAACTGCTGGTGAAGGTGGCACAGGATATAAAGCAGACCTTGCATTTTGGTGCCTTAATCTCCTCCAAGGGAACAGAAGTCCCTTGAAGGGCACAGACTGTACCCGTTTCCATCTTTACTAAGATGCGCTGCTTCTTCATACTGAAGCCAGCAGTTGCTACAAGACTCCTCTTGCCCATCTCCCTCCACCTGGATGAAACCTTCATGAACTGAAGAAGTCAAGCTTCCCTTCCCACCTCAGCTTGCAGCGACCATCGCCTGAAACACCAGCGAGGGCCTGGGGAGGCTGGTCCAGCCGGGGGTGACTCGTGAAGGAGCCAGGAAGTGCAGAATGACTCAGCCACAGAGCAGCTTCGTGCGCCGACCAGACGGGTTAGAGCTGGCCCACGCAGCACAGGCAGCTCCCTGGGGAACGGGAAGGAGACGGCACCCAGCAGTGGCTGCTCGATGTACTGCTCCCTGGCACGACAAGCTGGTGAACATCCCTCTCGCTATGCTGCAGTCGAGCCCTTCCTCTCTCTGCAAGAGCTACTTGGATAATTTGGCCCTATTAAAAGCCCTGCTGGGATGTGCAGGTCCAGCTCCAAACTTGTCAAGCTACAGGGTTGGAACCAGCAGCATCCCTCATGACACGGATGCTCTGAGCCCACCTGGACCATGGGGGGTTCATCTGGACAAGTAGTGACCTCAGGAATCAGGGTGCCACACAGTGATGTGCTCAGATACCAGGGGTAAGAAGAGGTTCCATGTTAACTATTGTCAATAAATTCCAGGTTATTATAGAATGTTCCTCAGGAAAAGAGCTCAACCCCTGCCTGGAGTCCCTGGTTTGCTCCAAAGTGTGGAACTTGTGTTTTGGAGGGAGCCCAGACAAATCCCTGAGGTATTCACACAATCCCACTGACAGGATGAGCCATGGCAATAATCACATGGATCTAACAGCCGGGAAAAAACGATGTGCAAAAACGTTCCATATACGGGGGCAAAAACTGTACTTCAAAAGGACACAAGGCTCCATGCAGCAGATTGAGCAGATAACGCTGCCTGGCTGTTATTACTCGCTGAAAAGCTGAAGGCGACTCATTTTATTACAGCACAAGTGCAAATGTGTGAACTCATGGCAAACCCTGTTAGCTGAGGACACCAAAGTGGGAAACCCAAGGCTGTCAGAGTCCAACCCCGCACAAGACAGCCATCCCTTTCTACATGAAAATCAGGTTTTAGCTTCCCAAAGCTTTCTGCTTTCCACCAGCTCCACCAACCTGACTTAAGCTTTGCCTTCCAGTCTTCTGGAGGGTGAGGATGGCTTTGTGGGTGGGGTAGCCCAAGGCTATCACGGGCTCGATGAGGTCTCGCTCCTCTTGGCTCAGTGCTGAGAGCAGGTCAGCGGCCGGATCCGGTTGGGATCTGCAGGAGCTGAGGGGTCGTGCAGGCGCAGAGGCAGGGGGGAGGCAGGCGTAAGGGCTGAGGGACTGCAAGAAAGAACACGGCACATGGTCTTCTTGCTCCAGCTCATGGAATTGCATTAAACACCACAGGCTGAAGCAATGCTTTTGAATGCCAGCAGTTACCTTGCTCTCTCCAGAAGAGGAAAATTCCCATACACGGAACAAACCCCCTTGGGCATCAAAGGAGACTGGATTTAATTAAATCCAGGCTCAGCTACAGATACGGATCAGAGAAAACAGCATTTAGGAGGGTTCATGGGAGAAAGCAAGAAAAAGCAACTTCCTTTCCCTGGGAATCCTGCTCATCTCTCCAGCAAGAAATGCCATGCTTGTCCTTGACGGACAAGGAAGAGGCAGTGCTGCCTGCAGACAGGCGATGCAGCAGCCCGGGCAGGAGAATGCTCCCAACACCCCATTTATGCCCTTGATGTTTATCAGATGTATTTAGCCTGTTACAAAGCCATGGCCAGAAATGACCTTGCACACTCATATGCTTGCTGGGGTTGAGGCCTTAGTATTCAGCATGATGCATGCGGAACCTTATTTAACTTTGTATTTTTTAGTCCTCCGTGTGAAAATGAAATAAGACACTTTGCTTGTTGGGAAAATGGGAATGTTCTGGTCAGGACAGAGCAAGTAAATGTGCTCCCAGAAATCTCGCCTTTAAACTCTGGGGAAAAAACCCTTTCCTTCACTTCTTATGAAAACTTGTTAGCAATTTCCCAAGGGTTCAGTGTCCCCAAAGGCCCAGTTTGGTTCCATTTTGCTGGCCCAGCAAACGGGACCAACTTGACTCCCTCCACCTCCCTCCTGACTCAGCAACAAGCAAAAGGCCACGAGAAGACAGCCCCTCACCGGCACCGTGGGCTTATGCCGTTTGATGGGGGGGATCGGCGCGGCCGGAGGCGATGGAACAAAGGGCCCCAGGTGGGACACGTCCGGGGATGGCCGGAACCTGACGCCGCGGCTGGTGTGGGGACGCTGGGGCAGTGGCCGTGGCACCGGGACCCTGCTCTCCACAGCACCTCTGTTCAAAGGATGCACGAAAGCAGCCAGCTTCCTCCTGGCCGCCTCCAGCTCGTTCTTCATGTTGTTGAATATCACCATGGATCTTCTCTGCTTGCTCAGGACTGGGCTGGCTGTGCCGCGGACGCTGTTCTCATGCAAGGGCAAGGGCTCCAGCACGCCAGGTGATGTCTTTGGTCGGGTCTGGCAAAAGCCAGGACGTGGAGCCACACTTCTCCCAGCGTTTCTCCTCCTGGAAACCTTTTCATCCTTGTCGCTCTCTTCCCAGGAGGTCGAGGAGTACTCGTCATCCTCTGAGTACTCGTCCTCCTCCGAGTACCAGGTCTCGCTCTCGGTGTCAGACAAGGCACCCCTGCCCTTGGCGGGCCGGGCCCGTGGCTGTCGTCAGCAGCGCTCAGGCTGATGCTGCGCCGCACGGGCCCGTCCCGTGCTCTCCCTCCGTAGCGGTCAGCAGGGTCCACCAGCAGCAGCCAGCACGGTGGAGCCGTGGGGACGACTTCAGAAGTGACCCGATGGCGGGAGGTTTGCTGCTGAGAGGCCACCTCGACCCAGTAAAGCACTTTCCTTTCCAGTGAGAAGTCATACTGTGGGAGAGCAAGAAGCAGGTGGTGAGGGCACCTGAAACCAGACCAGGCTTACAGCACAAACCATGCACTTCACCAGGGTGCCTTAAGGGCTACATCCTTCCCATGTTGGCTCTTATTTCCCTGAGTATCAGAGCCGGCCGTGGGCACTGGGGCTGTAGTTTGGGCAGCACCACCCTCACCCCTACAGGGAATCCCCAAATTTATACTTGAAAAAAGTCTGGCTACAAGGTTATTACTATTTTAAGTTGTACCTAGAAGTGATTTGACAGGTAGTTTATGCTTGGAGGTGGTTTTGTGTCATTCATCTGCTGTGGAAGGGGAGAGGGTGCAGACAGCAGATGTGAGCATCCTGATTTCAGCCAGCTGCAGGAGGCATCACATCCAGCCACAGGCTAAAGGACAGTGGCAGAGCTCGTCTGTGGCCCTCGTTCAAGGCACCTGACAGAGCCCCCTCAGCCACAGGGGCTCAGGAGCCACCAAGGGGGGAGATACCACCTTGGGCAGAGGCAGGATGAGCCCAGGGGGGCCCCCATGGGGCCCGGGGGCGTCCGGGAGCCTCCGATGGCGCCAGGGGCTCGGCTGGTCCCCAAACAGAGTTGTCATTTCCACACAGACCAGCTTAAAATATGTGTTTTGAGACTGAAACTGGAGGGTTTTCCTGGAACAAACAAGCCTGGCCCGTCCCAGAGCTCTCCAAACAAGGTCTGCTCCAGAGGGGCAGGCAAGCACATTCACAGCCCAGGAATGCTGTTTTTACTGCTCCCTGCCACTTGTTAGCTATGGACCCAAACCAGCCTCCCCGAGGAAAACACCACCACGTGCTTCCAGAAGGATCAGCCCAGGCCACCAGCACGATCACACCAGCACTGACCAGGCAAAAACCCAGGGCTGGAGGGTTTCCCATGGGGATGCAGATCATCACCTGCCTTTGCACAGGTGGCAAAAAGTGCGTGCATTAAAATTCCCTTTGAAAAAATAGGTTGAAATGAAGAACATGGTGACTCTTCACATTAAACACATCCTGTGAATTTGGGATGTGTCATTTTTGGGGAGGGATGAGCAAGGCTCAGCTAGGGAAAAGCCAGATGTGGGGTTTACCACTGGTTCACCCATCACCAGGGGCGACCAGAGGATGTTTGGGATCACCCAAATCACCTTCCCACATGAAGTGCACTGACCCCATCTACGGGTGACACTACTTAAGGCTAAACATGCAAAATATTGTTACAGCAGCAGGTGTAGAGCCAGAAGCAGTTTAGGACTCAGCAGTGTGGAAGATCACAAAGTACCTTGTGGAAGGTGTCCCTGCCCATGGCAGGGGGTTGGAAGTGGATGAGCTTTAAGGTCCCTTCCAACCCAAACCATTCTGTGATTCTATGCTGCAGCACAGGTAGTGTCGCCTGCTTGTGTCTGTTTTATTTATTAATATTCAATACATATTATTAATAAATGAGATCCTCCTGCTTGGATGGGATTAAGAAAAAACCACCCCAAACCAAGCCCTTCCTCACTCCCACCCACCACAAATGATCCTCACCTCCTCCCACTCCTGCTGCAAACCAGCCAGCTAAGGGGATATCAGTTAAGAGGAGAGGATTCCCTTCTTACACAAGGAAAGGAAACCACCGCTGACACTCCTGTGAGCATTCCCCAGGAGCAAATCCAGGCATGCCGGCAAGCAGAGGCCACTCACCATGGTGCTCATGAGGATGTCGGTGCAGTCAGGGACCTCGATGGCCAGGGCAGTGATTGAAGTGTTTTCTTCCCCTGAGTCCCCATCGAGGCTCCAGGCCTTGCGGAAGGGAACTTCATCCAGGTAGCTCATCACTGCTGCCTGATTGCTGTCTGCTGGAGGAAGGGGTGAAACACAACTGTGAAAGGCAGGACTAGCACCTTCTAAGTTGGGTGGAAGGGGAGAAAGTGATGCTGGTAAAAGGAAAACAGCCCTTAGAGATGCTGCCACCTGAGTAAAAACCACAGTGTGCAATGACCAGATGTGTAAAATCTTACTGATACCAGGCAGATTTGTCTGAACTAACCTTTGCTATTCTGAGCTTGAGCCAGCAGGACCTGACCAAGCTTTCATCTTCCTTTGGCAGAGATCCTGAAGTGTTTTCCACCACTGCTTTCCATCCCTCCTCCCACCTCTCCCTCCACTGCCCATCTCACCGTCCCTTTCCCAAGCTAGGGACAGACTGAGCACTTTTCCCAGTTCCAGAGGCAGAAACTGTGGCCATGGAGGACACAGGACAGCCCACAGGTCTCCTCTCTCTGTGTGACCTGAGCACTCCCTTGCTTGCAGAGCTCACACACATGGCCACGTGCTGTTAAGCTGTCACACAGATCAGCCCAGGGAGCTGGTGCAAGGGCATCTGTGCCAGTGCCACAGCAGCTTACCCTGGCCAGACCATGAGGCTGGGGCACAGGCAAGCTCTGGGGTCAAGCCATTGTAAAGCAAAATGAGCTTTTAAAAAACATCTACTCATTTTAAGTGTGGTGATTTTTTTAGATCAGGGGAGAGAAACATTTCTGATCAGCTGGGAGTGGTGGCATGGAAAAATACTACTGCAGGGAGCCATCAGCTCCTAATGTCTCAATTTAGTACAAAGCCATTAGTTGCTGCACGAAACTTTGAGCCCCCAGCTTCCCAGCAATGCATGCAAAATTATTTCCTTTATATATTGGCAAGAGCTGGTCAGCCTTCCACTGAGTCCTGGTACCTGCCTACTCATCCCAAAGTCTCAGCAGTCATCCCCAAGACACACACTCAATACTTGGTGTGATGTCCCTAAGTGCTTTTACCAGTTTTATTTTTTACCTATGAAAAGAAACGGCTTCTATGACAAAGAGGATAAACACTAAAAGAAAATAAGCAGATGAATGCATGAAAGGGTTAAAAAGCTGCCTGTTTACTGCAAAAACAAAGGTCTATCATGGGAAATGGCACTGGGGGTAGTTTCTTACGCTAGCAAAGGACTAACACAGGGCTTTCAGACCACGAACAATCACTCAGTGCAACTCAGTTGCTTTTACCAGAGTCACAAGAGTTGGCACTTGCCTGCTTACTCCTGGAGCCTTTAACACCCGGGGCTGCAGTGTGGGCAGAGCCCCCCCCAAACCTGCTCTGCGGCTCCCACACATGTGCTGCTGCTCACACGCGACACAGGCAGTGTGCTGGGAGCCTGCTCCGAGCCAGGCCATCTGCTCCCCAGCCTAAGAGGGCTCAGGGTATGTTACAATCCACGTCAGCACTGACAAAAGACAACATGTAAAACCTCTGTAAGCAAAGCCACCCCCTCCCACCTTGCTCCCACTCCTCTGTGTGGCGTGCAGCCCCTGACTGCAGAAATGACAGACCTTCCCTGCAGTTCACACTGTGAATCACCTCTTCCCAAAAGCCATGTGGTACAAAGGTGGGAAGGAAAAGGGGTATCTCATCGTCCATCACCTAGAATGGCTTTACTTGGGTTTAAATGACACTTTAAGGGATGGAGATGGGTAGTGAGTGTGTCTGAAGCCACAATGAATACGGAGAGATTATGATACTGTATCTCACTATTTAACTGCATAAATACTGTGCCTTAAGAAAAGCTCCAAAAAGTGTTAATTCCCAAAACCATTATATAGAAAAAACAGAAGTACACTGGGGTGAGGAGTGATGAGCATGAACACACTATTAGACAAGAGCCATAAACACCAACTTATAGCAGAAGGTAGCTCCTGCAAAGGTTCTGACCTCAGATGCTCCATGCCAGCCCTGCTCTTCACATCAAAGACATGGGCTCACAAACATAACGAGTCTCAAAAACTCAGAGCCAATCCCTCTATTTTTCTGTGCTGTAATAGTTTTCAAAACTTGAAAATAGTTAGAAAGATTATGCTCAACAAATTTGAATCTTAAATCTGAATATACGAGGTTTTTTTAAGAATACCCTGTCTGCATGTATTTTATGAGTTAAGATTTCCAACATTCCTCTCCCATCTGTGGTTTCAACATCTTCCTCACTAAAAACATGGAACATGTTAATGCAGATGTCATTAGGCAACAGCAAACACGTAGAACAAACCACAGGAAGCCTGGGTTACATCTAAACCCACACCACTTGCTGGCGTTTCCAAGTCCTGTTTATATTAGCAATAGGAAGTTATCTTACCTCCAGCTGAAGTCATGGAGCTCTCCTCACAGGCAGGAGAACAGGGCTGCTCCTCCACTGCTGGCTTATCTGCTGCTCAGGTCTTTAAATCTTGCAGTATCAGGCAAGCATCTGACTGTGACAGTTTTAAGATTATCGTAGCTTAAGCAGTTAGCCCCATCAGACACGCTACTGGGATAAGGAGCCTAACTATTTAAGCAGAGCACCCTCCAGGCACTGAGCTTCCTAAACTAAAGCTGTGTCTGCAGTTGTTTTCACACTATTTGAACTCCTGTTTTTCCATCAGGTGAGACTGCTCAGGATCTGACCTGATGCTGGAGGCGACAGCAGGGATTTGAGGACATTCAGACAGGCAAATCATAACCCCCACCTCCTGGGGACTTCAGTCATCTGGATATTGGGGTGCTGTAGGTATGTGATATACACGAGCAAGAACTGCAAACTTCTGCACTCAGATTAATTCCAATTCCATCAAAACTAACTAGTTTGTGTGCTTGTATTAACAGAAATCAATGTAAAGCTTCAGCTAAAAACTATTAACTTTATATATAAGGCCTGAGAGTGTTGAATTAGGTAATTGCATGTTGCCTCCTCCATGAATTACACCACGTTGTGATGTAAAGAGGTAAGGGAGAGATTAAATCCATTCCCACATGGTAGAGCTAAGCAAGACTAACAACTGCAGCTCTGGAAAGATGCTACACAACAATCTGCACAGCCCAGCAAAGCCCCAAACCCATACACCCTGCCACTGTTTGAAGCAAATTGCCCAGAGCATGGAAGGCTCTGGAATCAGATGCCTCTTGTCACCGTGTAGGTGACAGCATTTCTCTCCACACTGGACTCGTATTTGATGCCAAGTACTAAGACAGATCTCTCCCTCGGAGTAAAAACACTTCAAAACCAAGAAAAAATAAATTCCATTTTCCTTTACTCATTCTGTACAAAAAACAACTTACAAAATAGAGCTGCAGTTTTTAATCAAATATTAAACACATGAGCTGTCCCTATACAAATATAGCCATATAGGCAAAACCCAACTACAGTGGGTTAGACTTCAGATTTCACTGTTTGTTTTCCAGGAGGCTTATTCATCAAATTCATATATATTCACATGGTTGTCTGACCTATTTCACCACAACTGGGAATTTTTTCCATGCTGTGGTACCAGTTTTAGTTCACAAAAGTAAAATGTCAACAGCTACTTTAATCAACCTTGAAAAACCCTGTCTTGTTTGTACTTCACCATTTGTTTAAGCTTGTAATGGGTTGGTTTCTACACACAAAAATACAGGAACTATTTTGACAGCGATGCTTGACATGCTTTACTTCAGAAGAAAAACATGTTTTCTAATGATTTTTTTTCTCCACTTAAGTCTTTCTTTCTGGAGATTTCATCATCTGGAGTTAGGCTTGTAAAGATAAAAGCCACTAAAAATAGGATGTTAATACTGGCACAAATACTCCTGTCAGCAATGTCTCTTTATTAAGATTGAGATTCGTTAACAAAAACTGGCAGCAGGATTGTAATTCCACACCACGAGAGGCCCAGCAGCTTTGGGCTTGCTCAGGTATTTCCCTGCAGAGTCAGATAGCAAAACCAGGTCCTATTCTTCATGACATTCCAGTACCCAGCTACTGACACAGAGGATGAGACACGTCCTCTTCAGACCCTCTCATCTCTACACATGCCATTACAATGAAACTTTCCTCCCATACCATCTATTACTGCGTTATCGGACAGCGGTGGCCCAAGTGTCGTTTGTGGGGAGACTTGGAAGAACCCATCCTGGAGGGATGCTGCTTCCTTCAGGGTGATCAGCTGGCACCAAGTACTGATCCCATTCATGCCTTTAACAGAGAGAGCAGTGGATCAGAGGAGAGCTGGTAGGGGTTTGGTAATAAGATTTTTTATACACCCACACAGGCATCTTTCCATACAGATCAATACATGGAACACACTAAACTGTGCTCTGAAATAAGGAAGCCTGCCACGTGAGGAAAGGCTGAGAGCTGGGTTTGTTCAGCCTAGAGAAAAGAAGGTTCAGGGGAGACCTTATCCCCATGTTGCAGTATTTAAAGGGTGGCTACAAAGAAGGTGGAAACTCCCTCTTTACAAGGAGTCACATGGAAAAGACATGGGGTGATGGGGACAAGTTACTCCTGGGAAGATTCCAAGTGGACACAAGAAAATTTTTCACCATGACAACAACCAGCCATTGGAATAATCTCCCAAAGGAAGTGGCAAACTCCCCAAAGCTGGACACTTAAGATTTGGCTGGACAGGGTGCTGGGACATCTAGTCTAGGTCATGCTTTGCCTAGAAAGGTTGGACCAGATGATCCCTGAGGCCCCTTCCAACCTGGGGGGACAGGACCATAATTTTACAATGTCAACAAACAATACTCGTCACCTTTGATAACAGAATAAAGAGTTTGGTTTTACCTGATCTGGATTAGAGCTGCTACAGAATGCTCAGCTTGCAAGTAATAGTCTCGGAAGGGCTGCAGTAGGTGTGCTAGAGGAAATTCATCTGTTAAAAACACAAACACAGAAATTGTTCAATAAACCAGAAAGACTGATTCTAGTAAGTCTGGGAAGCCCCAGGTTTGCCAGCTCATTTGCTACTTCCCAGCTACAACTGGAAATGAAATCCCTGTGTAATCTCTTA